CATTATAAATGTGTTCATTGTATGTCATGTTCGCGTGTGTCTGCTGTAACCTTTGCAAAATATCTTCCGCCATGTACTCTCTATAATTGTCCCACAAATCATGTGTATTAGATAGCCCGCAAGATGATATGACAGTTGCATAAAGATCCCTAATTTTGGCTGGTGACTGGCACTGCACAGCTTCCTCCATGGTTTCATCCCAGTGTTATCGTTTTCTAAAAGATGCAAAGCTCCACATGCTTCTCTATAAGTTGCGCATTCCTGACCGTTGACAGTTTTAAGGTAGCACCCCGAACGTGGCGCAGCAGCAATCGTAAACAGAAACATTCAAAATTAGTTACATGGACGATATACACACGACGAAGGGCATCTGATGACTTTACACCGGGACAATTTGCAACAGGCGCGCCTTGAATACGGCGTTTTCACTCCTACCTAGATGTGTTCCAAGTATAATAGCGTGGGACTTCACAATATAACAACGTTTTTGCAAAGGGGTTGGTTTGACAAGGTTGAAAGAAGGCTGTTAGTGTAGTTTTTGGCGGTGATACAATTCTTTCTTGGAAATTTCTTTCCGTGAAATATACACGCTCTCCATTTTCTAAGTGCACAGCAAGGTGAGTAACTGTTGGGTGCCTTTCGTGTAAAGAGAAGCCAAGGAGACGCCATGCTGCCTCGTTACTGCTGACATTCACGCCCTGCTTGAAAGGTCTGTACTTCATTAACGGGATTTGCCTCACCTTCACTCCTGAGATTAAATATTGCTTGGTCGCTTCCTTTATTTATGTACTTACAGATATACTTGATTGCGCGGACAGAGCTACATGCTTCTACATTAATGTGGGCATTAAACATTTTACATAGAATTGGCGAATACGGGACAATCCAGCTGTTATCTAAGGTTTAGAATGCTCCAGAGCGAGATTTGATTGTAACTTTCCTGCCACCATCTTCGGGAGCTCTGTGTCTGTATAAAGGGTAGCCATTGTCATTGTGCACTGTTTCTTTTAATAGCTGTTTAGGGAATTTCTTTGTTCATTTTCCTTCTTTCATACATGGCGATATTGAATTTCGTGCTCCACATGGACCGTGAATCATATTTCGGACGACGGTATCATATAATTCTTTATCTAGCTCAGGATCCGGAATCTCGGCGCTTATTATGTCGTCTATTTGGCTGAGCCGCAACTTCTCTTTATGCCATATTAGAATGTGCATGCGGTAACCCTCTTTTTTTCCATTCAATTGAATACATGAAGCACTGCACCTCTCCGAAAATTTTCCCTTTGTTAATTACATACATTAATTTTTATACTTAATCTAAATACTTTAGCAACTAAATCGTGTCTGTCAGTACTTTTTGGGCCCGGCATTAGCTCCTCAGTTATTTCTTTCCATGTGGGATTGCGAGTAAAAGTAATAAAAAGATCAGGTCTTCCGTAAGTTCGTACATAGGCGAATGCACCTTGTGTGTACTCATGTAGGTAGCGGGGACTGCTAACGAATGATGAGGGCAGAATTACCATTTTACTTAAATCTCTGGGGTTTCCATTGGCGTCGCTAGAAACTGCATCTTGTAAATGTATATAATTCTCAACGCGCAGCTTTTTTGATTTAAAGATAGATAACGGAGACGTTCACTTTCTACCTTCACATACATGTCTACCAAAAATTGATGAAATAATTGTCTAGACCGGGCTAAGAGGTTAAAATCATTTTCTCGCAACATCATATGAAACGCATAAAAATCCATTCATGATACTTTTTTGTCGGAGTAGGCTCCTTTGTGACCGGGTTAATGAGTGGAATTTGAAAATGATAACCCTCTTGTCCTTTGCAATAAATCAATGGGTATTGCAGAGCGTTATAAAACTTGTGTGTATCGGCTACCCGTTGCAACGTATCATCACGTGCTCGCAAGACAATGTCTCGTGAAGAAAATTGATCACCACTAATTACGGCTGCTATTTCGTTTATCAAAGGTGCATTGTAGCGCCTTTCATGCTCTCCTCGAGGGGTCCGATCTGCGTGAATGACGACTTTATAATCCTCTTCAGGTAGGTTTTATAAAGCAGTTTTAAATGTTTTGACTAAAATGTAATGTTAATACAAGAATCTTTGAATTTTGAACACTGTGTCTCTCTCAACTCTCTGGATAAATTGGCAGCGACGGTCACCTCAATTTCTTTGTCACCCATAAAATATACTTGTAAAAATTTATGCTGTTCGTTCAGCTGGAAAAAGTGAACCTATTCTATGATAAATTTGCCCTTGCACCGTAAATGTAGGCGAAAATCCCGGCATTATTATTTCCCTGTTAACTCCGAAGGACGTCATTTGAAAGCATGAGTTATATTTCCGGATCCTGTCTAAAAAGCGTCGTGACTCATTAGCATCATATAAAAAGAAAGTTTTCAAAGGTTCTTCTGGTTCCCCAAGTAATGGAAGAGACACTTTGTCATTGGAACAGCACATACCTGCGGTCTAATCTTTCCATTTTAAAGCGCTGTAAATACACGCTTTGTCCATCAGTCCGATAACAACTTACCTGTGGTTTTTATAACCAATCAATGGATCATACTCGTAATTGAATGCTGCGTTGTTAAAAGCCGACCAATTGTTTCTTTGAAAATTTTGTCGACGTTCAGCTTGGAGCTGTGCATTTGCATCTCTTCGCGCCCGTGTCTGTTCTGGTGTTTCAGATGCCCTTATAGTAGATTGACGTTCAGCTTGCTCAATGAGTCTGTGTTGAGTTTCATCAGGTATTTCCGCGGCTCTTAAGGCGGCCTAACGTTCCGCTTGTTCGAATCGCCTTTGCTGACTTTGAGCAGGTGTTTCTGTAGCTCTTAAAGTAGCTTGACTCTCTGCCTGTTCAAGACGTCTTTGCTGACTTTGAACAGGTGTTTCACTAGCTCTTAAAGTAGCTTACGCTCTGTCTGTTCAAGACGCCTTCGCTGAGTTCGAGAAGGTGTTTCAGAAGCTCTTAAAGTAGCTTGACGCTCTGTCTGTTCAAAACGCCTTTCCTGACTTTGAGAAAGTGTTTCGGAAGTTCTTAAAGCAGCCTGATGCTCTGTCTGTTCAAGGCGCCTTTGCTGACGTTGAGAAGGTGTCTCAGATGCTCTAAAAGCAGCCTGACGCTCTGCTTGTTCTTGCCTTCTCAGTTCAGCATCTTCTAAAGATTCTAGCGATCGAGCTAATCTTTTCGCTTGTCTTTGAGAAGATACTCTTGAAAGGCTGGACTTACGTTTGCGAGGCATTATGAAGTAACAAAAATCCTATTTATAAAAAAAACGTTAAAATATCTTAAAGGAATTAAATTTCCTTTTAAACATTTTTTTAAAAGCAGATCCAAAATATATAAAAGGAATAAATAAACCTTTTAAATATTTTGTAAAATCAAAACAAAAAAACCAATTCAAGGCACAACACGAATCCGAAAACGATTGCCAAAAAAATCGAATCAACTTAAAACAAATCGCAGAAAACCGAAATCGAAAGCAGTGGTCAATATAAATATAACTAACGTAAAACGAAGTAAGTATATAGGTACCGTATACACTATCGATACTATTAATATTCCTTTGAAATATTGTTAAACAACCTAAAACAACGAAAAGCAATTCACGATTCTAAATAAACAAAATCCAAAATCAAAGCCAAAGTCTAAATATGCATAAAGGAATACCAACCAAATCAACAAAACCGATCCAAGAAAATACATAAATTAGAAAATGAAAGCCAATATAAATCCATTCAACCTTAACCAAAGCACAAAGCAAATAACAAACAACTGAAATCGAAAGCAGGTAGTCGAATAAGCTACGAAATAGAAACAATTTAAGCGTATAGGTACCGTATGCACTATAACTTGACACGCGGCTCAACGGCGGGAGTTAAGTACATGTCAGGAAACATTTCGTTACCGCGTTTTAAAAACCTAGTAACGACATCTAGCGGAATCAATTTAATGATTTTAACTCTATATTTTTCTTATAATTTTGCACAATTTTTCTTATTGTAATACCGATTCATTCATAACCACATATAAGAACTGTTTTCATTTCCGTTCAATATTACAAATATTACTAAGGCTTATTAATAAGGCTTACTAAGAACTGTTTCTACCACAGTTAAGTAATAGTTAAGGGTGAAAGCGTGACAGGTGGTGATAGTATTTCTGATCAATACTTATAATCACGCCTGTAACCCTTGCGGGGTAGGCAGAGCATCAACGGATTACTTAATATCGTCTGCGAGGTTATCGCCTATTCTGTGAATTACAATGCACCAAAACGTTTGAAGAAAATCAGCTGGTGAATTTTATGTTTTTTATCGCTCTCTTCCCGGTCCTGCGTGGAAAAATACAGATCCATACATTTTTATCTTAATTTTGGTAAAAAGACATAATAATCCAGATATTCTGACCTTCTGTGTTCGTCCATCATACCGTCGTCCGTCTTGTAGAATTGCGGTGGCGCCACCTAGCTGAATTAAATTTTGCAACATATTCGATTTTCCCACGGGAATGATATATGTTTCCGCTGAAAAAAGTAGCCTATGTCACTCTACAGCCACCGAACTATCCCCATACAAAAAATCATGCCATGCCGACGCTCTGTTGCGACGTGAAAGAAGGACAAACAAACAAACAAACAAACACACTTTCGCATTTATAATATTATATTAGTATGGATAAGTACAATGGCTTTCTCTGTTTACTTATACGTTGTTTGTTAAGCACAAATTAGTTTTTAATGCCTTTATAATCAGTTTTGCGTGCTCTATCTATATATACAGGCCGTATATTTGAAAAATTTATATTCGCCAAAAAGATGTTTTTTACGATGCGCCCCCATTATGATTTAGAACCCAGTTTGTTCTTATAACAAATCCTCTTTCTTTGTACTTTTTGTGCAACAATATCAAAATAAATAAATAAATAATAAATGAGGTCGCACGTTGTTCAAACTTTGACAGGATTTAATAAAAAATATACTTACGATTCTTTTCTCGCTTGTCGATGTTAACGGAGAGGACCCTGAGGAAGAACGAAATATTCCATAGCATTGTTGGCAGGTCGCTGTACTTCAGACCGAACTTTTCTGCTAACTTCCACATGATTCCTCAAATTCATATTTATAAACATGAGAGCAATGCATGATTCATTAATATGAGCTAAGCAAAAGTCCACTACATTGCCCCATAGTGGGGATGTTTGCCTTAGTCAATAGGCTTGGCGAGCTTGAAATAAACCGCGACTTTATAACATTTTAGGTTGTTATCTGGAAGACACTGATAACCTTCTCCTGTTTCATTTCCCTCTGTCACCTTTTAAGACAACCACTGCACGACTAAAACATGGCGTTATTATATAGATATTACATTATATAAGGGTAGGGCCTTGTACCTACTTTCATTAATGAGTTGCCGATAGAATTACGGAAAACATACGGTAAATCAAAACTGTTTAATAGTAAGCTTTAAATCATATCGGTTATATCATATTTGTTAAATCAACCATACCTATTGTAGTAGGTACTTTTGTTATAATATTGTGATTTAATATTAATATATCTTTGTTTATATAAGATGTATCTCTACCGTAAATAAGCCCCTAGAGGTTTATTTGCTAGTATTGTACTGGATAATGTAAAATAATTATGCTTAATAAATTAAAAAAAAGGATTTCTTTTCTACCTAGGAGTTCGTCCGAGTCGGGACCAACTTCTTACCTATTTCTGATAGTGCGCGCTCGGCTGTGTTTGCTGTTTACTGTAGAGTGTAGAGGGTATAGTTACAGGCTGTCTTATAAAAAAAATTAAAAAAAAATCAATTTTAATTATTATTCGTTTGTTAGTGACTTAAGAGAAATCTATCAACTCTCTTCGTCTCGCGGGTGTAATAGGCGATTATAAATTAAGATGGAAAGATTTGATTACTTCCAATAAGTGTAATAGTGGGAACTTAGCCATAGTTGCGACGTTTGGCAGGCGAGTGAGCATCCGCGGATTTATATTATTTTATTAGTTAACATGAGGGAATGTTTGCCATAGGTGTCATGCGTGGCAAGCAGTGTGGCAACCGCAGTTTTTTTTATTGAAATTACGTTGTTATCAGAAAGCATCTGCATCTCTTGCCTCAATTTGCCTTAATCGCCTCTTATGACACCTACGATAATTTATTTATTTATTTACTTATATTTCCTACTAACATCTACCATTACTGGGAAAACCTAAATCGATAAATGTAGCATCTCAATTCAAAAAGTAACAATTCAAATGGTAAAAGATTACTAATTACAACAGTTAAATAATTAGTACAATTTAAGAATAACATATTGTAAATAATGTCACTTTTGCGGACTCACTCCGTGAACACGAAAATAAGTCCAAATTCTCAGCTACCAAATTTAGTATGTGTATCGTTCGCGTGACCGGGGGTATTGCAAACCAGTTTAGTCTTGCCGCGTGGCATCGCGAGCAAGCTCGCTTCTTACACCGCTACTACACGGCGGTGAGGATATCCGATAGAACCAGAGTAACCGATATAGCCTAAAGAATTAGTAAGCTGAGTGGTAAAGTGAACCGACGGGGAAGAAAGTTTCTCGAATGACATCCTCGTAGCGGTAAACGAAGTGTAGGGCGGACCCCCATTAGACAAAGTGACTACCTGATAAGATATGCTGGATGCAGGTGGCTCAGGACTGTGCTTTGTGGCATTTCTTGGGAGAGGTATATGTTCAACAATGGATTTTTGAAGGGCGGTAATGATGATGACTATGATGATGACTATGATGATTAGTTATCAGGAAGATGCTGCTGCCCATCTTCTGTTCAAGTGACAAATATATTATTTTAATTAACATTACAGCAATACTTGGTAAACTTACGAAGCGTAGTTGTAAATTTGTACATAAACGAGCAATCCGGGTGTAATCCTCGTCAGCACCGATACATTTTTTGGTTGCAGTATTAATTTTAAGTGTAGATTTACCACTAACGTCGTCAGAAAACAGTTATTGAGGTAATATGTACTATGTAGTAGCACAGACACCGCGAAAAAAATCATAGGCACAGAGTACCTTTTTACGTTATAGACCAAGTAAGTTGCGGCCATGGGTTACGCGTACTTAAATATGTACTTCAATGAGTACAGTACCAGACGCTGCGCCCCGGACTAATTGTTCCATATCTATATCAAAAAGGTCAAGAGGTCTGTGTCTTAACTTACCTTTTAGTAATATTAGACGAATGGAAATATTTACTAACAATTTGTAACTGTCTACCGGTTTTCCGACAAATGTGTTTGTTTTTGCTTAGGCTAGGTTATATTGACTGTATCGATGAACGCCAGCTAGCAATTAAAAAACAAATTTAAATAATGTAAAGGCACTTTCGTCTAAATTTTTAAAGAGAACAAGCTCTGGCCAGTGATTGGCGTTTTTTTAGCTTGATTGTTCTAAATTATATACGGGGACGTTCGCGTATTTGTTGATTTTTTTTATTGTGTCCACACTATGATTACAGATATTTAATTATTATTTGCTAGCAGAAAACTTTACTTAAAAATGAATTCTTTATAAAAAGTAGCAGCGTTACAGCTTATAATTACTTCCAAAACCAATATAAATAAAGCAATTAACTAGTCTAGTATTTATAAGAAAATGACATTGATTAAATAATTCTTAGAAGTGCTTGTAAAGCAGATATTAACGGGGCCATCACTTTTAACCTTTCCCCTCCCAAGGATAAAAATTATTCGAAGGACATGAAGTATGAAATTTCAATTGAAGTACAATTAAAGTTATAATTAACAGTACCACAATATAAAAAACTTAAAGTTCATACACTTATTAGTTACTAAAGTTTCCACCACCATTTCACCATTACTATTTCTGACCCCATTCATAATTACTTTCACGTCACTGAAGTCCACGTTTGTTAAGTCCAACTTCTTTTCTTCTTTTGTCGCGTCGTACTGCACCTCCGGAAACTTCACAAGTGGTATCTGCAAACTGGCGTCTGATATATTACTCGATAGGCCAATGATTATTTTTTCCATTTGTATACTGCAACCTTTGTTCGGCGTCAAGACGTATGTCTCATGTAGATTAAATCTCTGGGTATCATCATTGCACTGCTCCGTCAGTATAACATCGACTTCTGTATAGAGTATCCAGTGTTTAAAAGTTATTTTCTGTACTTTCAGCTTCTCTATTTTTATTTGATGTTGATGTTTTTGATTAGCAGTATTTCTTCAATACGTGTGTCTTCATCAAATGCTGCCATATTGTCCTCTAAACGTTTTTATATATACAGGAAATAACTTATTAAAATTAGAACGTAACATTATCACAAAATTTTATGTAGATAACGATAAATTAGTTAAATTATTTTAGAAATACATACATATATAAATATATATATATATATATATATATATATATATATATATATATATATATATATTATCGTTATCTACATAAAATTTTGTGATAATGTTACGTTCTATTTTTGATAAGTTATTTCCTGTTACTGGGTAAATAATTAATTTGTGTATTTTGTTCCATTGTTATAAAACATTAATTAGTAATTCCATAGAATAGGTGCGGCTAACGGCACCACCCAGCAGCGGCAGGATCATCGTTCCCCCACGTTAGGGAGGTTGCAGCACCTACAGTTCGTGACTACAATAAAAGTGACAGCCCAAGGTGCTACGGCTCTAGGGAAAGGGGCCATCTTCGACCCAGCTGCCCTATGCGGTCTGTAAAAAGGGAAGGTGATCGATCTCAAAAGGGTCGTGCGGCTAACAGCACCGCCCAGCAGCAGCAGGAATACGACTTTACTATCGGATACTGCAGCGGGAAATGGCGAGGCAACACAGATGCATTGTCAAGAAGACCTTATCCTGAAGATAGGGAGAACAGTACTAGGCAAGAGGGTAAGGATATGGTATCCGTGAGGATGCTCAGGGCAGATCACCTCAGAAACGAGTGGAAGGACAGCTTACAACATGCACAGCAGGAAGATCCGGACATCAAACCGATTCTGGAATTGAAGGCCCGCGCTCCCAAGCCCAAGTGGAGCGACGTCTCAGCGATGAGTTCGATCACTAGAAGCTATTGGGCCCAATGGGACAGCTTGCTGATTCAGGATGGAGTCCTGTGCCGTAAATGGGAAAGTGGTTGAGGAGACAGCTATCGTTTGCAAATGGTTGTCCCTAAAGCTAAAGTGCCGGATATTTTACAGCTGTACCATAATGGTTGTTCAGGAGTCCATCTGGGAGTTAAACGAACTCTACTGAAAATCCGAGAACGGTTTTACTGGGTCCATTATCGTGACGATGTCGAGGATTGGTGTCGCAAATGTACAAGTTGTGCGGCTGTGAAGGGACCTCAGACTCGTAGTAGAGGTGCATTGAAATTGTACAATGTTGGTGCACCATGGGAGAGGACAGTCCTTGACTTTGCGGAGCCATTTCAGAACGGTGCAAGAGATATCTTAAGATCGTTTATGTGGATCGACTGGCGCGTTATTATGGGACCGATAACGCTCGGGACGTGCGTGTCTTAGGAGGGGGCAGTGTTGCGCACCACAATTGATGACACTAGCACCATCTGGTAAACCGTATCAGAAATAGGAGTGTCAAGATCTTTCTGGAACTCTCCCAACAGCGCCATCTAGTAACGAGAAGAATTAAGCTTTCTAGAAAAGCCCACACTCGAACTTTCTGCACTTAATCGGTGGGGACCGATATTTGCTAGAACATGCTGGATGTTTCGGTGGCAAAGGCCTATTTAAAGCCACTGAGGGCCGCGACTGGGGCAGTATTGAATTGGCGATACGAGCGAAGCTTACGTAGTGAAATAAAGTGAACTAAAGTGATCAGTGTGATTAATTATTAGTGTGTATTCGTTTTAATTGGTGTTTAGTAATTAAAGTGTCAATTTTGGTAATTCAATCGGCAGTTTTTATTGACACGAACTTTAAGCTCGTAACAGTATTATATGAATAATTCTGTAGAATTAATGATGCATTGATGTAGGGCGCGTAATTTACTGAATGCTATAGCTGTTTCTATTTTTTGGATATTTTTATAAATATAACAAGTTATTTAGA